TGGCTTCAGGATTCCCAGAGAGCTCCTTGAGGGAGCAAACTGTGTGGAATTCAGAGGTGGAATTAGTGTCAAAGTGGGGATTTCGGGATCCACACTCTGGAAATCACAGATTTTTTTAACAAATAGTTTGACTTCTTGCCCCAAAAACCTGCAGGTCCCTCCACAGCTCCACTGGGAGCAGCACCTGGGACACTGGGAACAGGGAGCTGGGATTGGATTTCCTGCAGAGTCACTCTGATGTGGGAATTCTTTCCACGAGACTCAGCTGTGCTTCCATAAAAAGGGGGTGACTCACCTCGTGTGAGCTCCCCAATTAATTGGGAGCGTTACTAATTATCCCAGGAGCTGCTCCAAACACCAGGACAAGGAGCTGCCACCTTCCCTTTGCCAGGTTTCCACCAAAATTCCAGTCCTGGATTCTTCTCTCCTGCCCTTGGGAACGATCTGCACGACATTCCTGCACATAAACCCGTATTTTATGGCGTTTGGGGTTTATTTTTATCTCCTGTTTTATCTGTTTTCTCTCCTCCCTCCTGGCTGCAGTTTTCCCAGGGTGGTTTATTCCCAGTTTACCATCTGGGAAATGAGGAGTTTGAAGCTCCTGGGAGCCCAACAACCCTCAACAAAAATGTTCCCAAGGCCTAACAAGTGGTTCTTCCCTTTTTTTTTTTTAAACCAGGACACACTTCCAGGAGGTTTTTAACTCTGGGATTCTCCACAAGATGCTACAGGACACAAAGTGCTCAGGGGTGACTCCCATGTTTCCTCCCACACTCCCTTCCCTCTCCTCCAGTGCCAATCCCAACCCTCTCCAGATATTTCCTCACCCCAAGCCAGAACTTCTCCATCCTGGAAAGGATTTCCAGCCCTTCCTTTTCCTTTTTCCCCACTCCAAAGTCCTTCTCTTCCTCCTCACCCCAAACACGACACAGTCACCAGCTACAGCGCAGAATTCCAGGATGGTTTGGGATGGGAGGGACCTTAAGGATCATCCAGTGCCATGGGCAGGAACACCTTCCATTATCCCAGGTTGCTCCAACCTGGCCTTGGACACTTCCAGGGATCCAGAGGCAGCCACAGCTTCTCTGGCAAATCCATTCCAGTCCCTCCCCACCCTCCCAGCCAGGAATTCCTTCCCAATATCCCATCTATCCCTGCCCTCTGGCAGTGGGAAGCCATTCCCTGTGTCCTGTCCCTCCATGCTCTTGTAAAAAGTCCCTCTCCGTGTTTCCTGAGGGTTCCCTTCAGGTCCTGGAAGGATCTTTCCCTGGACCCTTTTCCTAATACCAGAAAACAGCCCATTTTATCCCAATCCTACCAGGGGA